TGTTTTTATGCCAGACAGACATGTTCTTCACTCTTCTCGTAACCGACTCTGCTCTTCCACTTTTCCCTATGGAAAAAGGAGCACCTTTTGATACAAATTCAGCTTTTCTTCAAAAAGCTGACAATTTAAGATGCACTCAATCAACATGTATGCCCATAACGGTCTACCAACAACCATGCTGACGCTGTTTTGAATTCCTACTACTTTCTCCTCTCCTTTCCCACTAGCCATGCTGAGCTAGCACAGGGGCACATCAACCGACTTTTATGAGTCCACATACATCATTAACACAAGTGTTTAACCCTATCTTCAAGGCTAAATTCTGCTTCAAGTCACCTCTGAGAAGCTCCCTTGAAAGCAGTGTGGTACCCATGTGAAATTGAATGTAATATGGACCTTGCAGATCTGTGAGCAAGATAGTGGAACCTCTCATCCTGTGTTAATATGGGCACACGGTAACCACAAGATGCTACTGGAAATGATTCAAGAGAAGGAAAGAATGTATCTGGTTTCCTGATATTCTTAGACTGGCATATAAGAAAAGGAAGGAACAGCTTTTGGGAACAGACTCACTGAGGCAGACATAACATGGTGCCGTGTCATCTGGGCTCTGAAAAGTAGCATGACTGACCTTACAGTTTACATATTAAAACTGAACTAACTCTTAACAACATGAACTCTCTTTGGCAAAGGACTACAAAATCATGAATTCACCTTCTTCAGAAGTCCTTTGCTTAGTCCTGATCTCTCCAGGAGGGTGACACCTCCTTCTATTTCAGTAATTCCCAATACAAGCATGGTGTGAACAACATTCCCAGGAACCAAGTTTCAATATCCACGTTTCTGTAAGTTTTCTTCTACATTCACAACTTATTCCAACTATGAAATTCACGTTTTTCCTCTGTGCTCACAGATCTCACAGGGCTCTCAGGGATAAATAATGGAAGGAGGATGAGATAATTTAGGAATAGAACCTTCTATCAGAAATGGGATGTTTTAAAGAAGCAGTACTTTTCAACTAAACGATGACCACTTTGTGTTATGCTTTAAAACTAAAAACACCAACAGCTTCTTTAATCACAGTAGCAACTATTGATTGCAAACAGGAATCCTTTACTCTTCAGATAGACTCGAAGTACAGACTCAAAGCTCCTAAGCAAATACCTGTTGCCTTCTTCAGATGTTTAAGATGTCAGCCCTTTAGGCAGGAGTCCAAACGTAAACTTCAAGGCCACAGAAGCTCAGGACAACTCAGAGTCTGCCTGTGAGAGCAAGAGGGAGGACAGCTGCAGATTTAATTTTAGAGAAACATTTCTCTCTCCTCTTTGTCTCCATCTCCTCTTCACAAGAAAAGAAACACCTTTTTTCATTCTTTGATCCCATCGAAAGCTGATTTCTCCAACTTCCTTGAAAGAGCCAACAACCTTACTTCTCATCTGCAGCTTTCTAAAGCATTCCTGAGACTTACGTGCAATTCTCACCAGCCCAACCAACAATCACCAGGAGACAAGACTCACCCTGCAAAAACTGTCACTGAACAAAATTTCACAGTGACTCATTAGGCACACAGTCTGTAATGACTTTGCAAGCGTGGCAAGGAAGATGGAGGGGCAAAGCCTGAGCCAACACTAGCTGTCAGAACATCACTGTAACTTCTCATGTCAGAAAATATTAAGCCATCTGATGTTTCAGCCTGGCATTCCAACATAATAACAGGCCTGGAAACAGTAATCAATTTGCAAATTGAGGAATCTGCTCAGAAATACAGCAGATGACAGAGAAATATGCAAGAGTGTACAGAAACGTTTGTGTGATATTGACAATAAAGGTCTTCCAGAGCCTCCCTGTTGCTTTGTTGTCAGGGCTGAAGTATCTGAGACAGTGGCTGGAACTGAAAAGAAGATGCTTTCACATTTATGTGCAGACGTAATCTTTGTCCTTATTATGAAAAAAAAAAAAAACCTCTTTGTTTCTTTGCATAAAATGTCACCTTGTGACATATTTGGGTACAAACCAAGGAAGTGCCAAAGCTCTGCAATTCTCACCTGCCAGGAGCAGCAGGTGCTTGGAGCTTGCCATGGTGAGGCTCTTGAGACATGTTCTGCTCTCAGCCACAATAGTGTAAACACAACAGAACTTTGTTGGCACTGACTGAACTATCCCAGCTGTAATAGAAAACAAGCAAGAGCAGAATCTCTCCTTTTTATAGCAACATGGGACAGAATGATAATATTAACATTAGAACAGACTGATTTTGCAAGATGACAAAAGAACATGCTGATCTCACTATGGTGAGCTCCTTCCTACTCAGTAGACTATTGCATCCCATCTTAGAGGTCTTAAAACGTTCAAAGCAATGTGGAAGCATTATCTTCTAATAGCTTAAAAAGGAGTTCTATAATGCTAATGTCTTCGTCTGAAAGTTGTGATACATCTAGAGAGCAAGGAGTTGTATCCAAATCTGTAGTGGATTCCAATGGCAACGGATCAGAAATTTCCACTTGGGCATTTCTAAATTCAAGGCTTTAAAATACGCTGCTGGGAAAGGCAGAGGTTGACACGACCACTACCTCACAAAGGCTCCTGTGGTCGAATTGTGGTCCATCCAAATCAGTAGTTGGTAGTTGTGCATTTGCAAAGAAAACAACAAAGGAACTAAAAAGTTGTTCAATCAGTCCAGCACTTCAGCAAATACTTCCCAGCCATGCCACCAGAACACTGAGTCCCCCACTTTACTCTTGGTTACCGAATGACAAGTCTAGAAGACTCAACTAGCAGAAACTTAGAGGTCTACTGCTATTTCCAGAAGCAAAGCCTGGGCACCACTAAATTGTCCCAAAGGAGATTCAACACAGAAAGAAAGCAAAAATAGACTGTTTTATATATTTTTTTTAATAATATCCTGATGCTCTTGCTCAAGAAAGATGTACCTGAGAAATGTCCTGGGGTGCTGCAGGACACAAACCAGCTTTCTTAAATTGGTGTTTTTTCCCATTGTCAGAGGCCAACCAAAAAAAATAAGACTGCGTGGGAGAGGGATGGAAAACATACAAGTTTTTATTTCGACATGCTTACTATTCCACAATTTTCTAACCCAAACGGAGGGCAGTTTGCATTATTCACCTTTCTTTTTCACAGTATTTGTCATTGTTTTCAAAGTCAGAGTTTCTACACGGTTAATAAAGATGCTTTAGGACAGCCTGCATCACAACAGCACCTTTCTCTCTTGCTGCAACTGACTCCTCTCTCTCTTCCTGTTCAGACCTTTCCCGTTTCTAACTTGAAGATCTCAAAGAGCAGGAATTACATGTCTCAGCAATAAACACGATCTCACAATAAAACAAAGAAGAGGATGAACAAAATAAAAATGACTGTCTGGTGAAAGCTCCCTTGACAACTACAGCTACACTGACAGGCGCCGCTGAAATAACAGGAATGATGCTTCAAAACAACAGCCAAGAAAACGTTATGAAAGAGAAAAAAAACAGTCTAAATGGATCTTTTCAAATGCAGATTCCACTGTCAAATGAGGAGAACACAAAAATGTTCTTTCTTACAGCACAGTCACACTTCACACTTAAGCTGCCAGATAACAGAAAACCACCAAAAAGGAGGGTACTACCTGTAAAGATCTGGGCCCAATAGCTCACTTTGGGAATGATAAAATAATGCAGTATGGAACAGAGGGATCACATTTGGAGGATAGGAAGGAGGGATGGAAGGCTTGTTGCCAAGTCTTGAACTGCTCCCAACTGGGTGAACAATAAAACTCATGTGGGCTTCGGTGCAACATCAGGCTTGTGTCTGAGTAACCACCACTAGCTAAAGGACAAACTGAAGAGCAAAGAAACGAAACCATAAAGTAACATGAAAAATTAAGGTCCAGGACTCACGGTGTTCCACCCAGGACAGAGCTGAAGTAACGCTTGTGAAGAAATATGCCTATAGGCTTAAGGAACCTCAGCTGCAAAGTACTGCATGATAAAGATTAATGCTCAAAAACTCCCATCACAAACACACAGCAGCACCACGTTAGACTCATTTCTCCCAGCACTGAGTGCACTCACACAGAACAGCAGAAATCTGGCTTAGGCTCCTGGGTTTGCAGTCATCTCCAGAGAAAAACAAAATCTGCAGAAGAGCCATGAGTTGCTCCTCCATCTTATTCCACATGCTTAAGACCTAATGCACTTCTTTTGACTTCTTATTTCTCTCTAAAAGAAAGGAAAAACTTACAAATATGTTTTTGCTCCTTAGTGTCCTGGCAGACACATGTGCAGGACTGTTTCCCACTTTTATATGATGAGATTAAATTAAAAAATATATTCAACAAAGAAACAGAGTGCACAGAAAAAGATATCAGACATTTCCTGCAAGAAGCACTGGAAGCAAAACCATGTACTAAGAATAAAACAGCTAAATAGATAACAAGAAGGCCCTGATAGCAAAATAATAACAAAAGCAAGCAAACAACAAGAAAGCAATAATCAAAAGGGATGTAAACACTGCAGGCTCACATAATGAGGCAGCTTCTGAGTACTCATTGGAACAGAGAGAAACTTCTGGTCTGAGATTATTTGGTACATATATAGTACAGATTCTTGCATGTTTCCTTACTGTGTGAACATACGACCCAAAACTGAGTTGGGGCACGAGTGCATGGCTCGCTTCTCTGTTCCAGCATGGTCATACAACTGCTCCTGACTCTTCAGCAACAAACAGACTTGTGGGACAAAATCAAAGGGAGCTCTGGGTCCCCGTGCCGGGGGAGATTCAGATGTGAATTGGATCTGAGACACGAAACCGTCAGATAAAATGCACTCCGTCAACCCCAAAGCACGGACAGTTTCCAGATCCACAAGTGAGGATGCTGGGACCAACACCCCCACCTCCAGACCGCGGTACCCGCAGCAGAAACACCGTCCCGTGCCTCCAGCCCCGTGTCAGGGAAAAACAACGCCGCTGGCTGCCAAGGGGAGGGAGAGCAGAGAACCACTTACGGGGATGTGCACTCGCAGCACGAGCTTCTTCTGGCTGGAGCCTCTCCTGCCGCTGCCGGACGAGTCCTTCTTCTTGGTGTCCATGGCAGTGCTGCCCATCCCGGCCCGGAGAGGTGGGCTCTCTTCCACTTATCCCATCGGCAGCAGTCACTCCGTGCTCCCGTGCTCCTTAATTATTATTATTTTTTTTTTAATGGTCTTAGGAAATAAGGGGGGGAAGAAGCAGGGGGGAAGGGGAGGAGTTTCTGCAGCTCCAGCCTTTAATCCAGCAGCGAGGTGTCAGGGGTCCCTTCTGCGGAGCGGGAGATGTCCTCAGCAGCGCTGCTCGCTTTGCTTCTCACCCTTCCGCCCTCTCAACAGCCCCCGGAGTGTCCCTGTGGGGGGGTGGGAAGGTAAGAAAGTTTTCTCCCCTTCTCTCGCGCTCTCCTTAAAAGAAATTAACTCCTAAATTATTATTAATAATAATAATTACATACAAATCCAAAGGGCCGAGGTCGGAGGAGTGCGTAAGGCGAGCTGCCGGGCCCGGGCCGCTCCACACGGAGCTCCGCGGAGCCTCGCGCCGGGCTGAGGCGGGCGGGAGCCCCGTGGGGCGGGAGGAGGTGCCCGGGCGCTGCCGAAAGCCTCGGGCGGCTCCACAGGAAGTGCAGACAGAGCGAAGAGCCCAACTTTCCTCCGGCAGCCCCTCCGCGTGTGCGAGGAGCGGGGCCCTGCTGGCACGGCTTCCCGGGCAGAGCCCCGCTCCTCTCCCGGACGGCATTTTTCCACTCCTGCCCGCCCCAGAAGCCTGCCAACGTGAGAGGAGCCGAGGGACGGGGTAGATCGTACCCTTCAGGCAAACGATTTTCGTGTTACGGAGTATCGAGAAACGAAAGGGGTTCCAAAGGCGCTACGCCGTGGAGATGCTGAGGGCTGAACTCCGGGCAGCAAATCCAAGCGCGAGGTCTCTGCCTTAAAACAGCTCTTGGCTTTCATCTGCTTAGAAACGAGCATTCTGGATCAAAATACAAGTTTTGGGTATAGAAGTGGCTCTTCTTCCCTTAGCAATCTCTTTCCCACATACAGTTGTCCGTAGTTGGCAATCACACCCAGTCTGTCCTGCAGCTGCCCCACTTCTTTGCTCGCATCATTTAAATGCAGATTTTTGCTGGGTTCAAATCCATGCATCCATGTGTTCACAGAGTGTATGCTGTAATCACTGCAAACAAACCCTGGGAGATCCTAAAAAAACATGATTTATAAGTAATGGGAATAAGGGAGCAGTGTTTTCCATAGAATTATCCTTATCCTCTGAGAAAAGTTGAAATGCGATGGCTATCCTGGAGAAACATAAAGCTCAGATTTATTTTCCTTCTCATGGAAGTCTCAGGAATTATCCAGATACAAATTAAGGTGAACGATCTGCAGTCATCGTTCTAAAATCACACAGGTAAAGATATGAAGACACTTCTTTAATGCTTGGAGAAACAGTGGGTGCCCCATCCCTGCAGGGCTCAAGGCTAGGCTGGATGGGGCCCTGGGCTGGATGGGGCCCTGGGCAGCCTGAGCTGGTGGGGAGCAGCTCTGCCCACAGCAGGAGGTTGGGACTGGAGAAGTGTCATAAGGTGGATAAGTGGATAAGGTCCCTTCCAACCCAAACCATTCTATGGTTCTGTGACATGTAACTGTCCCATACATCCCCTCAGGATGCCATGGAAGGAAGCAACCCCAGAAATGAAACTGCTGGGTAACAGTGTCACCAGATCCCCAGTAAGGCATCATGGTTTTGCTCTTCATGTTGTTTTAAACAATGCCAATGCAGACATCTCGTGGACAAGCAATATTGTGATTGCCGTGAGAGTTCACATTATTTTTCCCATGTTCAGTCCTGTCTGTTCAGCTGCCAACAGCCATGTTTTTAGAGATGCAGGCATTTAAATTACTGATTTCACAGACTATTGGGCACCCAAATACCTTTGAAAATATGACCCTAAATACTGAAAGGTTTTGGGCATCTTCAGAGGCAGACAGCAGAAGAGGATCACAAACACATCAGCCACGTCTTTCCGTAGCACAATGCAAGTGCTCCTCATTAACAAGCCCTACCTACAGCCCAGCACAAACAGCACATACTTTGGACTACACCCCATCACAGCACTTGCCCTAGATATTCCTTAAATACTGGTTGAATCCATTTTTCCATTATAAATCATCACAGTACATTCCTAAGTTTATGAAGTAACTATCAAACTTTTTTTTTTTTTTTAAACCTTGCTTGTATCAACTGTAGTTGCCATAATTAAAATGCTATTACACATCTACACCTGTCCCCCTGTACTCACTCTTACCTTCTACATGCAGAACCTCATCACATTGCGGGGAAGGGTTTTCTAACATACAGTCAACATGAGGAAATATCTGCAGACACATAAATTGCACTGTTTGCAGCAAAACTGCAATTAGAATGGCCTTCTGTAGGGAAATCTGAAGAGAAAACTACAAGCTCTCCAGGAGAGCAGGTTGGACAAAAGTGAGATAATGAGGTTAATGAGAGAAATGTCTGTGCCTGGTGGGACAATATAACAACAAAGACTGACAAATCTTTATGCTGAAGGAAAGGTTGTGTGGTCAGGTGTTTGTGCTTCTCTCTGGACTGGCATTTAAACCTATTCCATTTAAACCTAAGGCGCTGCAGAAATTATTTTCATGCTTCTCCATGCATGATGAGCACAGGCAAGCAGAGGAGGGGCAAAGTGTGCATTGATGCAGATCCAAGATCCCACCTGATCAAAACAAAAGGTGACATGTTGGGAAAGTTGCTCAGATACAGTTCTTCCATCTGCACTAGCAAACAACCAAAGTGGCCCTGTGACTGCCCATATTGTCTAATTATTTATGCTGTCTCCACACACTTTTGGAGCAGGCCAACTACAACTCTCCAAGATGCCGTCAAGTCACAGGAATTAACACTGGTCTGGGATCATTCCTACTAGGAAGTTTGGACAGAGCTGCTCTTTTTCAGATGGAAGAGAAGTTCTCTCCAAGCCTTGCTGCACCAGGTGGCCTTGGGATGTGCAAATCACATCTGAGATCTGCACCTTGGACCAGCACTGAAGGCTGGCAGTGTTACACACCTGCTCTCCTGCACGTGTAGATTCCATGCAATCAAGTTGCTCTCAGCCTTTTTCAGGTCTGTTAGTAGACCACGTCCACAGAAGAGACAAACATGATGTCCTATTATGTTCCTCACATCGCACTGAGGTGTATAATGCTGGAGGTACCAAGAGTCATAATTACAAGCAAATCATTCTGTCATGTGAATGGCCTTGGATACATCCAGTTACAGACTGAAGATTGTGTATTGCCATAGCAACGATGTAATTCCAAAAGTATATGCTTATAATGTAGATTTAACACATTTCATTCTTCACTTCAGAGATTCTAAAGCAGGGAGAATTGCTTTAGGTCCCTCAGTGTTAGAAAATAGCAAAAAATGACAGCAAGGGAAGATGTATAGTTACATAATTTCATGCCGGAAAGAGCTTTTGTTTAGAAATAGCTACAAATAACTGTGTCAGGTTCTTAAGTTGATGGTCTAAAACCTTATCAGAAGACTTTTAGAAGTAACAAATGTCTAAAGATGGCCCTAGACAATAAAGGTGCTCCCTACACTGGCTCCAACCAACTCCAAACAGATAATTTAGTTATTCTGACTCAGTGTAGCTTCATTGAGATTATTAACTTTTTCTCTGTAGAACTTTAGATTATGTCTAATTGTGCAAATGATCTGGATTTCAGAATCTAAAACTGAAATTGAAGAGATAACACTGTAGAGGTGTGCATAAGTCAGTGGATAACGTAGTATGAAAAGGGAGTTAAGTAAATGGCTCAAGGAGAAAGCCTAGCCCTTGAAGATAAAAATGAAACCCAAAAGAATCAGTAATTGATTATGTCCTATCAATGATGAAGAGTCTATAGTTGTGATGTCACTAGGAAGGGTACAAAATATCACACAGAAAGCACAAAGCACAGCAAATACCAATCTTCAGAGGCTCACTGGCACAGATCTCAGAGTATTTTCTAGTGAATGCCCTCCCACAAAATGAAGACTAGCAAGAAAAAATCATTTCTTACCTTTGTAACTGGTAACCACTTCGGCCCCTATTTTGGGCCAGTCTGAGTGCTTTCAGCAGAAAACAGTCTTCCTCTGGGTACTCAGCACTGAAGGGAGAGCACAGCAAAGTCTCGTTGTTACGGTATTTTAAGTCGTATTGACTTCCCCATTTTTGCAGTTAGTTTACTTCCTATTCAGCAATCATCTTACAGAATCAAACAAACAGAAGCATGAGCAGCAGGAGCACCTCTTCTTTTAGTGAATGAGCACATGGTCAGAAACTCACACAAAGTGCTGCAGAAGGGTGAAAAACAATAGGAAGTGTGCAATCAATAAAGTGCAATTGCCTGCAGGAACCATGGAGCGAGGGGATATGAATGATTTGCTTAGAATGAACAGATGTCAAGGTGAGAGACTCAGACAGGGAGAATGCTGGCCAATAAGCAATGAAGATCTCTCACCTGAAATACATGACAGACAGCTGCCAACCAGGACTCAAAGAAAGGCAGCTCTTGGTCAAAGTCTTGCCAAATAGCATGGAAAGAGCAACTATGGAAGTCCTAAAAAGTGCTGCTGAAGTACCCACTGGCAGTCTAACAGCAAACCTGAGGGGAGAGATGCGTTCAAGCTGAATTTGGAGACAAAGATCATCAGGTGTGTAATTAGCAGGATAACTGGTTGATAACTGGTTGATAACTGGTTGATAACTGGTTGATAACTGGTTGAAAGTGCAGCGGTTGAATGGACACTGGCTCAGGTTTTCTCCTCTTCCTGTCCCCTTCCCCAGTCACAAAGCAGCTAGATCTAGTGATGCTTAATAGCACAAACTGCTAAAATCCTGTGACAGAGCACAGATGTGAAAAAGCCCTGCTACATAACAGATTACTAAAATCAGGAAACAGTATGAGAGGAAAAGAACCTGTATATGGGAAGAGAATAAATATCAGAATGAAGACAGAAAGAAAAAAATTTATATACGACTAAAAGTCCATATCAGTTGAGATGCAAACATGTTATGCATAAGGGTTTTTTGTTGTTGTTACACAGTAGCTGTCAGTGCTGAGCATTATTCTGTTACCTGAATTGATAAATCAATATCTTGAAGATTATACTGGCAAATGTTTTGTGCCTGGAAACTGCCATCATATCCCTATCACAGCAGAATTTTGAGGAGCATTCACTACAAGAGTAATTAAATAATAATAAAATAGTAAAATCTCCAGAAATAAATGTAAGTTTATACTAAAAGCAATGCCAAAGTAATAACACAGAA